CCCGCCCCCGGCCTCAACGCACGGAACGGGGCGCGGGCTGTGAGCCGTGCCCGGCGGCTGTTCGGCCACCCGTTTTATGGTGCTGTCCTTACAGAAGTAGTAGGAATGAGAAAATGGGGGAGCCGGGAGCGGGGTGAGCACATAAGTACATCCTTTTGACTCGGTTGGGATTCGCGTCGGGCCTCTAGCATCCCTGTCTGCCGGGGAAAACGGACCTGAGCTACAGATACTGGCATTTCTTCCAGTCTTTGTACAAGTGTACAGACCCAGACGTGTGTTTTTTCTGGTGGCTTGTGTTTTACATTGCCTAGGTAACATTATTTTTCAGTACATGCTGTTTTTCAGAATAATGGTTTTCAAGCCAGGCTATTAACAGTCCTGGAGTACAGTTATTAGTACTGATTGCTCCTTGTACCCAATGAATGGGGTGAAGTTTAATGGTTCTTAAATATCCTTTCTTTTGGGCTGTTACTTATCACGAAATAACTTAAAGCATTATTACACTGTGAAGGTTGGGGTTTGTTTTTTTCATTGCTTTCCTCTAGCAAAGGGTTCTTGGGAGGCCAGAAGTCATCAGTGATACTGTATTATCTTATAAACAATCTAGCAGGTATTTACAGGTGAAAATAACTTCTTCCTCTTAGTGTTTGTTTTCTAGATTTAAGAACTATGCAACTACATGAGAGAGAACTGAAATTTGACCAGGGTTGTTATTTAAAATAATTGGTCTGCAAAAAATGCAGCACTTTTTCCCCCTAAACTTAAACTGCATGTGTGGTCTGGTCTTTTATCACTCCTTTACGTTACTTGTAGCTGTTTAATAACTTCCTGTAATACCAGTATTGTCAATGCGTTCTAAAAGGAAAGGTACTTTTGTCCTGGGTGTAGCTTTTTGGTTGTTTTTTGAAACAGAAGGCTTTTACTGAAACCCAGGTTCTGGATGTCATGGAATTAAGTTTCAAATTTTTCATTTGTGGTTTGAAGTGCTAAGTTATCAATTTGTCTTTTGAAGCCAAGTACTAAAATGTGATCTGCAAACTGTATTCGCTTCTAGTGTGAAATATTAAAGGCCTCAAAGCAGGCCAGCAGGGATTACAATTTAAGGTGTAATCTAGTTAACATGGATTCTTTTGTAGGTCTGAAGTTATACCCACAAAGTTATATTGTTGCCCTGGTTAGCAGGGTGACAGAGCAGGTGGTGCTGTATTTCTAAGGGTCTGTATGTGTGAAGAAAGAAAATACCAGCTTCTCTCTTACTCCTGAGAAAGATCATATCTTACTAAACGCACATTGACCACACACATCCCCTCATTTGCCTGAGGTTTTCTTATGCACTGAAGATCCTTCTTTCATGCAGCAGATCTACTGCAGCCCTTTTCAGTAAAGGTCATCTGCAGCAGGCGGGCTGTCTGCTTCTTTTGCATTGTGGCTGCAGTGGAAGCATGCATCTCAATTTCCCTTGTTTTTAAGCACAGGCCCTGGGGCAAGTCTTCACAGTAAGAGCTGTGGAAAAGTGATCCATGAAGGCTTGTGCTATTACTCCCAGATTCTCTTATGCAGTGAACCTCTTATTTCTTTCTCTTCATTTCTCTTGGAGTTTCTTCAGAGGTTCTTGCTACATGGGAACCCAGAAGGTGAAATTTCAATTCTAAAAGACAAGCTCTTTGGAGTGCCTGGACAAGAATAATTGAGTTTCTAGATATAAAGTCTATAATATTTGGCTGACAAGTCATTTGTAGATGAATATGAATCTCTGTTCTGATGTTTCAGAGGAGGAAATGCAGTGGTAGGCAAACTCTAGAAATAGTCCAAGAAGTTGTTACCTGTAAGAAATTTAAGCATTATCAGAAAACAGGTGTTACACGAATGCCCAAGATTTAAATGTTATTCTAGATTTTGACTTTGGAGGTTAAGTGGCTGAGTGGTAGAACTGTTTAGGTAGTAGCTTTTCTTTATATCTGTTTATTTTTGGTTTGTGTAGCAGCATGTGGACTTGTAGAATATTAACATTTTTCATTAATTTCCATCTATATCTGTGGCAGGCCCTGGAATTCTTATAGCAAGTTTTTCTATTGGACAAAAAAAAAAAAAAAAAAAGGAAGGGTAGGGTTAAATTAAAAACACCTAAATTCAAGCAGGCATTTGCATGAAAATACTGGAATTTCTAGTATGAAAGATGGGTGGTTACTGAAAGTTGTCTCCACTAGCTCATTCAAGTGGATGGGAATAATCCTGCAAACTTCCCTAATGCAAAGGGGATCAATACCTTAAGAGTACTAGTTCTTATTAAATACAAGTGAAATTTGGTATTAAAATTTACTCATTGATTAGCTTTGAACAGTGACTGATGTGTTCACTGCCCATGTTAATACTGTTTTCATCGTATATTTGGAAGAAGTAAATTCCTGGTCCTTTTTGGATCTTAATTTCTGCTTTCCCCTCCAGGAAAATGAAGGTACTACTTCCATACAGTACTAAGGAGAGCAAGTTTTAATGACTGTTTTAAAAACCTGTCCACTGGACTCTTCTTAGTCTTTTGAAGTTATGTTCCGAATTACTTCAAGGTGAAAGAAAAGCAAAAATGTCCCCATATATTTCTGGTTTTAAAGTGGTTTTTGATTGGTTTTATTTTTTCTTTTTCCTTAATTCTGTTTCTATTGTTGAAATGATGCATTGCCTGCATTTTATTTTTGTGGGCTTTAATATAAAGTCAGTGATGTTTTCATTAAAGGCCTGGTTCCGTCGTCTTCTCCTACCCCTTGTAAATAGGGTTTCCATTTAGGAGTTTATAACTAATGAGCACAAGCACCTCAGTGTTCAATGGACTTTATTCCTACATTTGCTTGAGGTAAGGAAGTATTTTCTCTGCCTGTACTAATGGCAGGCTTGTGTGCTTCTCAGCATCTGCACAGGAAGTTTTGAAAATGAGCAGAAAATAGGAACTCACATCTACTGAGTTCCAAATCAATTTCTTATGCATTAAATCATCATTTAAAGAGGGACATGTCCCCACTTTTGTTAACTAAAGGCTTATTGCACAAATTAAAAATGTGCTCCTACTGTTAAACTTTATTACTACTGTTGCTATTACCTTTTAAGTGTCTTATTGCATGCTAGGATAAGGTTCTGATGCAAGTTCCTCAGTGTATACCTAACAGTCTTGCTGATAGGAGAGATGGGAAATGCAGCCAACCATCAGTCAGGCTGGCCCAGGCAAGTCTGTCTTTTATCAGAGTGGATAGTGGAATGCTTCATGCACGACTGTAGTTAATTTTTCCATGCTATTGTACAAATTGTCATTGAAAACTAATCATTAGGTATGGGGCTTAAACAGGGCTTGTAAGCTTGCTTGTGTCCAGTGTCTGCCTAACACTGTGTTGGGTTAGGGTACATGAGATGTTAATGCCACCTGCTGGCTCAGAATTAGTGTGAGTCTTGCTTTGCACCTGGAGGAAGTAGACAGTAAGGAAATACCCGATGAGCCTAGCATTTGTACATCTTAAAACATAGGATTAAGAAGTCCTGGTTCTAGTTTGCTCTTCTGGTGAGAGGATCATTATTTCTGCATTTTTTTCCCTTCTCAAATACTAAGGAGAGGAGGGGGATTAAATTTATGTTCTATTGTTTTGCCAACCATCAGGACTTGGACTTCCTATTGCTTTATCATTTGACTAAAGTTTTCCTTCTAATCCTACAGATGTGATGGGCATGTGTATTTCTACTGTCTTTCTCTAAGCTATTTCCCTTCTGACTTGTGTGTGTTTATAATAGTTCTTGAAGAGGAAAGGGAGAGCAAAAAGTTGTTTTGTGACCTGAAAGTGTTAGATATG